TGAATGGGTAAAGAAGATGTGGTATATATATATATATTGGAATATTACTAAACCATCAAAAAGAATGAAATCTTGACATTTGCAATGACATGAATGGAGCGAGAGAGCGTATTATGCTAAGCTAAATAAGTCAATCAGAGAAAGACAAATACCATATGATTTCACTCATGTGGAATTTAAGAAACAAAACAGATGAACATGTAGGCAGGGGAAGGGGGAGAAAAGAGAGGGAAACAAACTACAAGATTCTTAGTGATAGAGAACAAACAGGGTTGAGGGAAGGGGGTGGGTAGGAGATGGGCTAGATAGGTGATGGGTACTAAGGAGGCCACTTGTGATGAGCACTGGGTGTTGTATGTAAGTGATGAATCACTGAATTCTACTCCTGAAACTAGTATTGCCATTAACTAATGAATTTAATTAATTAAGTAAAAAGAAAGAAAACTAGAACAATGAGAGAAAAAAACCCATAGCAAGCTGAAGGGATGTAATTAATAGAACTGAAAAGAGAAAAACAGAAAAAATAAATAAACAAAAGCTGTTTCTTTTTTTAAAAATCAATAAAATTGACAAACTTCAGGCAAGATTGATAAAAATAAATAAGATAGAAGACAATGATCAGCAATGTCAGGAATAAGACATCAATACAGATTCCAGCTTCTGTCAGAAAGATAATAAGGAGAAAATATAAACAACTTTACATCCGTAAAGCTGACAAGCTAGAAGAGATGGATCAATTCCTTAAACTCAGGAACTACTGAAAATCAAGATGAAATAGAAAACCTGAATAATCCTATAACCATAATCCAATTAAATAAATTGAATTGGTAATTTAAAAGCTGAAAAGGAACTCTCCAGCCACAGATGATTTTACTAGAAAATTCTATGCACTTTTATACACAAAAAAAATCCTCATCAAAATATTAGCAAATAAAATCAAGCAGGGTTTAAAAAATTATACACCATGACCAAATGCAATTTATTCCAGGTGTGCAAGATTGATTCAGCATTTGAAAATCAGTCAGTAATCCAGCATAATCAATAGACTAAAGCAAAAAACAAAACAGAACAAAAAGGTATGATTGTACCAATTGATGCAGAAGACATCATTTGACAAAATCCAACACCCATAGACGACAGATATTCTCAGCAAACTCAGAGTAAAATTTCCTCATATGATAAAGGCACTGACAAAAACTTATAGCTAACATCATACCAAATGGTTAAAATAATGAAATCTTTCCCCCTGCAATGGGAATAAGGAAAGCATATCACACTAACCACTTTTATTTAACATAATGCTATGAAAAAGAAAAGGTACACATATTGAAGAGAAAGAAATGAAACTGTCCCTATTTGCAGATGACGTGATTATGTATATAGAAAATCCCAAGGAATCTATGAGAAAACAAAACACAAAACAAATAACCAGATCCTGAAGAAGTGAGTTTCAGCAAAGTTACAGAATACAAAATCAAGACAAAAAAAAACTCGATTACATTTCTATTTAAGAAGAACAAACACACAGAAACCAAAATTTAAAACACAGTAACATTTATAATCGCTTCAGAGATAATTAAATTCTTAGGGACAAATCCAACAAAACATGTACAGGATCTGTATCCTGAGAATTAAAAATTGCTGATAAAATAAAGAAGGCCTAAATAAATGGAGAAACATTCCACATCCATAGTTTGGAAGACACAAATAGTAAAGGTGCCAGGCCTTCCCAAATTGGTCATAGGTTTAATGTAATTCCAATTACAACAGCCAAGAGTTTCATAGAAATAAACCACCTTATTCTAAAATTTATATCAAAAGGCACTGGGACTGCAATAGTTAAAACAATTTCAAAAAAAGAATGTAACGTGGGAGAAACCACTCTAAAAGATGTTAAAGCTTATTAAATAGCTAGTGGTCACCATTGCATTGGTGGAAGAACAGACACAAAGATCAGTGGAACAGCTAAGGAACTCAGGAGACCCACACAAATTTGACTAAATGATTTTTTCAAAGATGCAAAAACAACTCACTGGAGGAAGGACAGCCTTTTCAACAAATGGTGATGGAGCAACTGAACTCTCAGGCATTTATCTCAGAGAAATAAAAACTTATGTTCACATAAAAGCTTGCAAAAATGCTCACAGCAGTTTTATTTGTAATAGCCAAAAATGGAAACAACTCAAATATCCTTCATACCCTTCAATAGGTAAATAATTTAACATATTGATATTATCTGTACCATGGAATACTACTCAGCAATAAAAAGGAATGAACCATTGATACATGCAACAGCTTGGATGGATCTCAAGAGTTATGCTGAGCAATAAAAAGCTAATTCTCAAATGTTACATACTACATTATTCCATTTATATATCATTCTTGAAGAAAACTATAGACATGGGTAACAAATCAGAGATTAGGGACTTGGGGAGGAGGGAGGTGGCCAAGACTATAAAAGGGTAACACAAGGGATCCTCTATCTTGATTGTGGTGGCGGTCACATAAATCTACACATGTGATAAAACTGCAGGTAACTAAATGCATGCGCCACACATACATGAGTGCATGTACAACTGTTGAAATATGAAAAAGGTTGATCGACTGTATCCATGTCAATTTGTGATACTGTATAACAGTTATGCAAGATGTCACCATTTGGAAAAATTAGATGAAGGGTATATTAGGAGTCTCTATTATTTCTTGTAACAGCATGTAAATATATAAATGATCTCAAAATAAAAAGTTACAACAAAGGAATGATCCAGTATACATGGAGATAACTTTCTGAACTGAAACTTGACAACTTCAGTTTACAAGCCATCAGTCATTTATCTACACAATACCTATTATTAGGCACTGTGCTAGGTGACAGAGATTCAGAGTGAAAAAAGCAGTCATGGATCTTGTCTTCATGAACTTCATACTGGGAAATAGAAAAATAGTGCAATGTATGAAAGGGGCATTGCATTTTCAGTCATACACGGGGGAACTGGACTCAAATCTCTAATAAGTCAGGTAAAGTAATTTCTAGAGTACTGTATGCTCATTAAAATTATCATGAACACTACTGAACAGAATAGAAAATTCTTGTAAAGAACACTACATATAAGATCATATATTCATTAATGTGTGATAATTAATGACAACTTGTTTTTATATGAATAAACTTTTATTGAATTTTAGATCATTAGAAAGAATAAAGAAATGCAACATAAATGCTGTCTAAACAACATCTGATAGTACCTTTTCTGTCATGGTATTTTCACTCTTCTTTAGAAAAAGTATAGACATTCATTTATTTAATTTTTTACAAAGTCAAGAACCATCACATGGAGAAAATAAGTAATGCTAATGTAAATTCAGCATTTCATCAATATTGAAATGGCTACAATGGTTAGGTTCTGAGTGTAGCCCTCCCAGAAAACAGTGTGTGCAGCAGTGGCTGGCTTCCATTTCTCCAAGTAGGTCTGAAAATCAGGAAGCCACTCCCTGTGACGACTATGCTGCAGGAAAAGAGGGCAAAAGGCATAGTGCAAAGAGGGAGTGCGAGACAACATTGGGAAAGAAATGATGCTCTTATGGAACCACGAGGTCGGCCTCATAAATAATTCAGAGAACGATTCTCGAACAAATCATTTCTGTGTTGCTTAAAGTGTGATTAAGGCAAGATAGTCCCCAATACAAGTATGCCCAGATCCACACAGCGAAAAACAGTGGGGAGTCTGTAAATTATCTGGTGAACTCCAAGGCCAGCCAAGCCAGGTAATTAATCACAGAAGGAGTCTCTTTACAGTGGTATAAAACGCATTTGGGCAAAACTACAACCCTGAGCTGTGACAAATATAGGGCAGACCCTCCCAGGAGCATACCTGAAGGCATCCCTTTTGTCTCAATCTTATCTCTTTTTCAAAAATAATTATTTTGAAAACAACAACAACAGAACAACTCCTGACCTCCCTGTACAAACCTACTAACCTCGACTTGTCAAACAAGGAGAACATTATCTGCCTCGATGCAAAAGGCATCAGGTGCTGCCCTCATTAAGAGTAACCTAGTGTGAAAGCAGGGAACCCTGGACAGCTCTGCTCTGAGCCTGCCAGGGATGCGCAAGTCCCTCGGACACAGCCCAGCTCGCTCTCCCTTGTGCAGGGCCTCCCGAAACTCTCCACAAACCTAATCACTGAATGTGCTATAAACAGTAGTCTTTTCTTTCCTAGCCCTATGCCTCTCATGTCTCTTAAAAAAAATAGTTTTCTTTTAAAAAAATATTCTTCCAGGAAATAATGAACAGTAATTGTCATGGACCTGGAACAGACCCTAGAAAAACAGACAGGCAACAATCTGTCAATACAGCAATATTCCAAATATGAAATTCATGGTTCAGGAAGGGATAAATAAATAAATATGAAGGGGCTTCTCAGAGAAGTTGCTTTTGTTTTCCCCCTTTTCTTACTGAATTTTGTGTCAAAAGCTTTTATTCTATGATACAAGAGCCAGCCCTGTTGGGACCAGTATTAACTATTTGTGCCATTAAGCCCTCTAGATAAAGAGGGAATGGTAATGATATCAGGGTTGCTCATTATTTTTTCTAAAGATAGCTATATTTTTAAATAATTTCATCATTTAAACTTCAGCTGGCACTTTAGTCTCTTGAAAAATTATTAAGTTAGGCATGAATTAAAGGACAAGCCCATCTGGACTGCAGTTTGGGTTTTAAGGGCTATTCTGCTCTTATAACTTTTTCCTTGGCTTGGCACATCTTTGAGATCCAGTTTTTTGGACAGAATCTGTGGTGGGGAAACAAGTCTTCAAGATGGAGAATCCCAGTTCATTCCACAAAACTCACTGGCCAGGTAACGGCATTGCCTTTTCCTTTGTGCTTTTTACTAGTATCCTTACAAGGAAAAGTGTTTCTTTCCCAGAACTTGCTCACCCCACCCTCCCCCTGCTTGGGGCATTCCACTGATTCCTTTCTGAATACTTTATCCACTCAGGTCCTATACCAGGGACCCGGCCCGACTCTGGGCTGGCACCATGACAGGGACAGCACCAATTCGCTCCAGTGTTGCTTGGCTGACGGTGTACGAGTGTGTGTGTTGAGGCCGAGGTTGCCTGCTGACTGAGCCGTTGCTCCTGGACACAACCTGTGGGGATGACCCTCTGTTGGCTGTCACTACTAGAGTCTTATGTGGAGCTGGGACCAGGTGGTTCCCATTAGCATAGATGGACGGTATATTGGCATTGCCTGAGTGGAGCAAGTCACTGAAGTGGTTGAGTGACTCGGTGTTTCTGTGAACTTTTGGATTGTTGCTCCAGTATCGACTGTTGTACGTATTGGAAGAGGTCAATGTGTTGTTCTCCGAGGAGGATATCTCGGTGTGAAATGCTTTGGCAGAAGAAGAACATTTAGGTGGAAGATCATCCTCTCTGGAAAAGAACAAAAATAAAGTTGTCATTAGGATTTACTTGAGTTTTACCCTACCCTCCTGCCAGGACTCTTTCTTCTTATGGTAAGACCAGTATGTCTGTGAAGTACAAATTCTCAGGACAAACCATACTATCATGAAAGCAAACACATTAGTCCTGGTGGCCTCAGCTTTGGCACAATCCTTTGAAACAATCCTCAAGAAAAATTTGAGGTTTCTCAATCTCCAAGGATAGAAAGGTAATGTCAAATATCTCAAAGACTGTATTTTCCAATATAACTGAAAAAAGTGTGTGTGTATGTGTATGTGTGTGCGCGCACACATCTGCGAATGTATAAATTTTTTTTTTTTTGCTCTAAATGGGAAAATAGTCCGTGAAGAAATCCACTGAGCTTGTTGCTGTAAAATGTTAGCAAACCAAGCTATGGGTGTGTGGAGTTTCAAAAAATGGTTAGAGTTGGCTTGATTTTATTGCACTTTGGAGTTTGAGAAATCACTGTAGTATGCTGATAAGTGATTTTCCTCAGTGATCTTATGCTGGGATGAAATCTATCCTTGCATACAATCTAAACCTGTAAGAATTGTAAGAGGCTAAGAGAAGTTACTAATTTAACTTAAGATGTTAACTAATTCATTTAACATTTATTGAATACCAGGCATTCTACTAGATGTTTCATGTAAAGAAAAAAAAAAAATACACAGCTCTATACCCCAGAAGCCTATGACAAAATGGGAGTGACAATCAATGCAAGAACTCCTTCAAGTCTGAAACACTGAACAAGGGACTAAAGTAAACATCTGTGAGGAGGTGATGCCTCGACTAATCTTGAATCAGATCAAAGAATTTACCAGAGAGATGGATGAAAAGGAAAGGAGTATGGTCCAGGAAGAGGGTGGAGGCTTGAGCAATGACGCTGAGGCATGAGAGAATACAGAACAGACTGGAACACCAAGGATCACAGAAGTGGTGAGAGAGGACCAGGGAAGCAGGGGAGGGTCAGGTCCTGAAGGGCTGTGTGTGTCACACTAAGTAGGCTAGCGTCATTAAAGCATTCTCAACTAGGATATGATGTGATGCAATGTGAGACCGAGTTTGTACTCCCATATCCCAAGAGCCAAGAGTCACTTTTCTTTAAAGATGATTTTCACATTGTTTTCTGAAGTTATTCATATCCTTGACTGAACTGTCTCCTCACACCAAGCCATATTGCTTTGGCCTCGCTGTGTACACAAGGACAGGTATAGTCTTGTGGTGTTCCTTCTAGCTTCTATTATAAATGCCAATGTCAAACACATTTTTTTTCATGTTTATTTATCTATTTTGAGAGGCAGAGAGAGAGAGAGAGAGAGTGAGAGAGAGTGCACAAGCAGGGAAGGGGCAGGGAGAGAGGGAGAAACAGAGTCCCAAGCAGGCTCTGCACTTTCAGCTTAGAGCCTGACATGGGGCTCAGTCTCATGAACCATGAGATCATGACCTGAGCTGAAATCAAGAATCTGGACTGAGCCACCCAGGTGCCCCTTAAACACATTTTCTAAAGTAACTTTTCTACTGTCACAGCCACCTACCCCTTCCTATCTTGGAGATACAGGAGGTGAGGGAGGTCTAACATGTGCCCTCCTGGTTGGGCACATGTTAGACCCTCTTCCTCTCTCAAGATGCAGTAAGAAACTCTGAATAGCATCATGAGGAAAACTGATGTAACATACAAGGAAAAAATATTACTTGGCCATGTTAACTGTCTTGGCCATCACGGTCATTGGATTAGCAAAGAAATCTTAGCTGCCAAAAATTGATACACATTACAGACACTGGCCATGAAGGACAAATTATCTGACAAACAAACCTTATTTCATTAGGAATTTCTTCTTCCTCCTCCTCTTTGTTTTTGCTTCTCCAGTAAAAGAATGCCCCTAAAATTAGTGCAATGCAAAAAATGATAATAACTGCACCAGTGCCAATGGCTCCAGCTATTAGTCCAATGCTCCTGGGCTGGGCTGCAAAATATATTTAAGGCAGATTTAAAGAACAAAAAAAGAGAGAAAGAGAGAGAGAGAGAAATAGCATATACTCATGCAACTTTATAAACATAAAAGTTCACTACAGAACCTTCTTAAAATGAACAAAACTGCCTAAAGTATTACATCCGTATAAACCTCAGTTAACTTTCTGTGTCCTGGGTGGCTAGAACTAACTGACACATGGTCGGCTCACAAACACTTTCTGAATAAATGAACATCACAGGACTCACCACTTCGGCAGAGCAACTCCTAGAAACTCCTAGAGCAGAACAGGCAACCGATGTTCACCTGCTTGATCTGCCCAAAGGAACCCTGGCAGTCAGCAGGCTCACTGTCACCCCAGCCCAACCCCATCACTACATTTTGTAACTGGAATTCAAATAACCCAGAATTCTCATCTAAAGACAACATTTCTGCACCACTTATTTGTGACCTGGCCACCTAACAGTTAAGCAGATGTATAGAGATTAGGAGAAAATACAAAAAGGTCTTGTCATGGCCATAAGATCACTGTTAAGTTTTTATAATGTCTACAGCACTATGCAATCACTTGAAGACAAGTGACTGACTTGATTCTCACAACCCGGAGGAGAAAGGCATTCTGTCGTAAAGAAGATGTCACCTTGCTGAGGCAGAAAAGTATACTAATACATTTATAAACTACTTTAATAATAAAACCAGAAGAATTTATATTTAATCTTCAAACCACCTGAAAACAATTAAGAGAAACTCTTCATTTCTGGTTTAACAAAGATCTTGGTGTTCCAGATAGAGAGGAGATCAGAATTTTATGTACTTACGTGAAATAACCTGGAGATCCAAAAGGCAGGTGCTGGTTCCAATGGCATTAGAAGCCACGCACTGGTACAAGCCTGAAGACAGAGCACTGATGTTCCGGATGGTGACTGTCCCCTGGACCTGGTCTGTCACAAATATCATAATCAAGTGAGCAGTTAGGGAAAAAAAAATAAGAAAACCAAAGAAATCAGCAGAAGACTATAAAAATAAACACTGAAGAGCTATCATAGCCTTTTCTGAAGAGATTTTTTTTTCGTTCATGAAAATACTAAAATCACATCACGTTAAAGACCGGAGATATGGAGGACTGTCCTAAATAAGGGCAATCTTACAACTTAATGTGTAGATTGGCATGAGGTCCTAAATGTGAGCAGTCTTCCCTGAGGAAACAGTAGCTAATGCCATCCTAGAGAACTTCTGGTCAGTAACACCAAATTTTAATTCTGAGGAAATGCAATAACATAAAGAAGGAGTTAAACTCATTGCATTAATGTTCACTGTATATGTGATGGAGAAAATACGCATTCTGTGCTCACAGGTGTAGACTGTGACTTCTAACAACTATTTTAAGTGTGTAAGTCCAGCTCCTCCACAAAGCAGACACACAGAGACAAGCCAAAGGTTTAGTGGAAGAAATTCTGGTAAAGGAAATGGAGAGGCAGCTGGAGAAGGTGGGAGAGCCTCACTGCAATGCAGGTGTGGCCTCTGTGAAGAGGAGAGAGAACGGAGGTCCAAATGAGGGGCATCTCAGATCGCAGCACAGTGTTTCGGAAGTTTCCATCAGGCTGACGGGGAGGCCCTGAGCTAAAGTAACTGTTAAAGGAGTCCCACACCTTGCAGGAAGAGCCCTGCGTTAGCAGGCCCACTGTGTCCAGTTACTGCCTGGGAGCAGCCCAGGCAAAACGTGGTCTGAGTGCAAAGCTGGTGGGTTCTGGAGGAAGTGCTTGGAGCTGTTAAGTCAATTGTGTCCCCACAGCAGGAGATAAGCAGTGCATTTTCAAGACCATCACACTGATATCACCAAGAACGTTTTCAGTAGTCCACATTTTAGTAATTCATCAACATTAGCATAGATTATGTATTCCTTGTAAATAAAATGTAAATTACTTACAGTAATAATAAAAACTATAATTAATAGTTGTTATTACTATGTGCCAACCACTTGTTAAACTTTTATATGTACTACCTTAATCTTCACAAGGACCCTATGAGGTATTATTATTAATCCCATTGAACAGGTAAGGAGACTGAGGCTTTAAGTGAGTAATAAGATTACTCAGCTAGTCACACAGAATTCGAATTAGATGGGAGGCTGTCTTACATCTAAGCTCTACGCTTCACTGCCTCCTTTAAGCAGAACCTAACACATCCAGTAATCTCAACCCCTCAAAATAGCTGCAAATTTAGGAATAAGTAGAAAGCATCCCAATGGCACATTTCTGGCACAAAGTCCGTATATTCCTAGGGCAACACTTGGAGCTACCTCTACCCTGGGCTATTTTTACATGAAACTTAACATTCTCTTGTTTCTGCTGGCAATCCTCATTTCTATCTAGATCAAAGGCAGAAGCAGAGAAGAGGAATCAGCAAAAGCAGACCTAACCACAGCACACATGCATTTATTGGTTAAATCATTTAAGAAAAATATTTACTAAGTGCTTTTCTGGAATTAACTTAAAAAAATAAGCAAAGGAAAGGACTCTTTTTAGGGTTTTGTTTTTGTTTTTTAATGGGAACTTTTAAAGAGTCAAATCCACATTATACAGATACCTTACTTATGAAGAGTCTGGACATTTGAATTGTATTACACACGCCAAGTCAATATATTTGGTGGTTACCTGGTTTGCACTTGTGTATTATTTCCTTTTCTTTAAAACAAATAAACAAACAACTCTGAGGGCTACCAATGTGTAAGAGCCCGTCAGTGAATTCACTCAATACTTGGGCCAGTCAGGGAGGAAACTGCTTTCTCCTCCTGTGTTTTCTACTTGATTTCCCAAGCCTTCATTAAATGCCCCCCTCATATGTGCTCTTCAGCACCATGTGTTCTCTACTGCTGGCGCTTAACCTCATTTGTTGTCTCGTCTTGCCTATTTGTCTCTTTTTTTTTAATTTAAAAACAGAATTTTTTTAACATTTATTTATTTTCAAGAGACAGAGAGAGACAGTGAGAGGGGGGAGGTGCAGAGACAGAGGGAGACACAGAATCCAAAGTAGGCTCCAGGCTCTGAGCTGTGAGCGCCGAGCCCGACGCAGGGCTTGAACCCACCAACAGTGAGATCATGACCTGAGCTGAAGTCAGAAGCTCAACCGACAGAGCCAGCCAGGTGCCCTGGAGCCTATTTGTCTCATTAAAAGAAGGGGCTGGGTTTGTCTTGTTCATAATTGCATATCATCCTTAGAAATTACCCAGCATGCAAGAAGGTGTTCAGTAGATAAAGGAGCTACCTTCTCTTCAGTGTCCACTGTGTACCATATGCGGGGTACTAAGAGTTTTACATATGTATTACTGAATTGTCTAAATCCTAGATTTTATACAAAGAACAAAATGATGGTTACCTGAGGGGAGATGGGTGGGGGGATAAGTGAAATAGGTGAAGGGGGGGTAAGAATACACTTATCATGTTGAGAGCACTGAGTAATGTATGAAATTGTTGAATCACCATATGGAACACCTGAAACTAATATATAAAACTTTATGTTAACTATACTGGAAATCAAATAAAAAACTAAAAAAAAATCCTAGGTTTTATATTCCCTACTTTTCAAAGACAAAAAGCTCAGAGAAGCTATGCAATGTGCCCAATATTACACAGTACAGAAGTAGCAGCAATCTATAAAATCAGGTCTACCCATGCCCAAAGCACACAGGCACCATACATATACTTGGTTTTCTAGTAAGACATTTTAAACCACTATGGGGTGCAGCTATAAGATATTTCCTGACAACACAATGTTCCATTGCTGCTAGTATTAAACTAAGCCATCTGCCTAACTCCACCTTCAATACATTACCAGATGTCACCATGCAAGAAAACCATAATCTCTGGACAACTAGTCCCACAATTCCACACACTGTGGTGCTGTTTTCGTAAGCCCTAAAATTCTAGGAATTTGATCAGTTCACACAAAACCACTAATTTTGTTGACATTTTCATAGAGATAATTTGGGAAACTTTTCACAGCTGCTCTAAGCAGCATTCTGGCATGTAGAAAGAGGTAAACTTTAAAGATTCTTGCTTTACAAGGTTATTTTTAAGAGGTGAAGTCACTGTTCTTCCTTTTATCTCTATAAACACAGACACCAAGAGCAGACTGATAGAAGAAAGTATTCCTAACTGAGGCTGACGTGCCATGCTAGAGCTAACTCAGGATGTAATCAGGGAAGGAGGCACATTGATAAGAGGGGATTAGCCAGAAGTAGGACAGGGCTGTTTGTGCAGTCAAGGCAAAGAGGAGACAGGAGCCCCTCCTCGGCAAGCATCAGGCTACTTCCAGCCATGAGCACAGGGCTCTTTCCCAAGTGAAAAGGACTAATTCCCCAATTCAATCTGTCACTTCGCTTGGCCTGCTCTGGTTCAGAAGTAATTTGTAGAACTGAAGTTAGGAAACAAATGTTCTTATGATCTTTCTTTCACAAATAGGTAAAGTTCCACTGTGTGGAACCACAGTTTGGAAAGCACACATGACATCCCAGCCCACTGTCAGTTCGCAGCCTACACCAGATCCCACACAAACTACGCAGCTGGACTAGGGTGCCCAATAGACATGTGTCCGTCTCCACGTCCATCCTTTCTCCTTAGGCTCAGAACCATTTCTGTTACTGCCCGGGAGATGATGCACTGGCTAAGTGCATGTGTTCTAAGCTTAGACAGCCTGGCCTGGGATCTGCCCTACCACCTACTAATTTCATCACATATGACATGGAGCTACTAACACACCTTCACCCCAGGGGTTACTGTGAGGACGAAATGAGGTCATGCATGCAACAGGCATAGTATAGTGCCTGGTAATGCTTCCATGGGGGAATTCTGTCCTGGCATTGCGTGGGAAATACATATTTTTCTGAATCATAAGAAAAATCGGTCAAGAAATTAGGAAAATGTCAGATGTCTCCAAATTCCCAACAGATGTTAAATACTCAGGATGTGAGGTTGAGAGACAGAGATTCCTAATCATGAATTAGTCTATATTTTTATACGATGTATGTACTTTGGAACAAAAATGAGTGACCATAATAACAATCATTTCTCATAAACATTTCAGAAGTATCTTATAAAAAAAAATAACAAATGCATGATTTCTTCTTATTTGAACCAACTATTATGACAAAATTATATATCTCAATAATATGTAAAAATTATCTCAATCTGATACATCTGATAACAAAAAATAGTAAAAAAGGGAGAAATATCACAAAATAAATGAAAAATTGAAATCTACTTACAAATTCAAAGATAATATCACATATACTTCATATTTAAACTGTCATTTTAAAAGAAAATTTTAAAACACTATGAAGGGGCGCCTGGGTGGCTCGGTTGGTTAGGCATCCAACTTCGGCTCAGGTCATGATCTTGCGGTTTGTGAGTTCGAGCCCCACGTCGGGCTCTGTGCTGACAGCTCAGAGCCTGGAGCCTGCTTCCAATTCTGTGTCTCCCTCTCTCTTTGCCCCTCCCATGCTCATGCTCCGTCTCTCTCTGTCTCTCAATAATAAACGTTTAAAAAAAATTTTTTTAATAAATAAATAAAACACTATGAAGCCTTAAGTGTCCTATCTGATAATCTCAATTTTTGTTTCATGTCAAATTTTCCAGACATAGAAAATTTTATTTTTGTGTTGATGTTGGTTGAATTAAGGTGTAGATAGAAAAGGAACAGAGAAAGAATCTGTCCCAAATAAGAAAATATCCAAAGTACCTTCAAGGCACACATTAGGATACATGCTGCTTCATATTAGCTCATTTTTTAACTTAACGATGAAAATATTTTGTGTCTGCTCTACTTTGGCTTTGTGATTGAAACAGATATTGCTTTTGCGAATTCAGATCTTAAACTCATTTCTGATTCCATGTCCATGTATTTCCACACCAACATTTCCATGTTCTTTTCTTTGCATTTCCAT